AGAGGATAGCAAACTTATGTTATGTTGAGTGAACCATTACATTATCACGTAATAACATGCTGTGTGAATGTTGGAAAAAAGAATAGTTCAAATAATACGTCCTATACATAAATGGTAGAAACGAATTTAGTCAATCGACCGAAATTAGTGTTCCGAAACTTTAAGTGTCTACTAAAAATAATTTCCTCAAAATCTAACTGGTTACGGGCTACTAATATAAACCCCAACCATAGTTAATAGAGGACAGGGTTTGGAAGGCCGGCAAACTTCAAAGGCTTTCGAGCTAATTGATTTCAGATGTTGGAAAGGTACGTCACGTGACATTTCGGGTGCATCAAATTCAGAAATTACTATAGCGTAGTATTACAGAAATATGATATTGTGCTTATAAATTTTAAAGTAAGGCATTGTTGTTCTTGTTATGGCTTCGACAAGTTCGACATACGATTCAGAAAGCAAAATTCACCCAATTCTGGGTGCTGGAGACGCAGATACAACGACGGAGGCGATTTTCATCAAACTATTTAGCTGCTGCAAATCAACGCGGATGAATTAACTGAAGAAATATCGCGTTCAGTTGAAGAAGTAAGTCCTTTATACTGTGTCCAATTAAACAATATGCAGTGAGATGCCTTAGACTTAATATTTGACTTATATTTGTCGTTTAGATTGAAGGATTAAAGCAATTCCCGTGCGAATATCTATGCAGTATTAAGCACTCGACAAATTCTACAGCTAGTACTGCCAAAGGGAAAATCAAAACCCATGTTACATGACTTATCACGCATATGAGAAGGCATTGTCGATCATTCGAGAGGTAGGGAATTTCATCCATGCAGAGAAGATAAAGTCGTGCTTTTGATGCTGGTGAATATGCCCGAACGGTTGACTTTCCTATTACCAGCAGATATTCTAAAGTAATTATTATAAACACTGAAGAAACTGCATGCTTTAATACCAGTAAATATCTTAATACTGTGTATACTGTATATAGACAATATACTGTAACCTAGATATGAATGTCTTAAATAGTAGGCCCTAAGGCTTATGTCCTATTGTCAATTACAAGTCCAGATATTGACCAATATACAGTGATTCAATGTCTACTAGCATGTGATTTGTTACTTTTCATCATTCTGTCACATCAAAATAGAATGTTATTCCAAGATTCCATGATATCTCATGCCCATCCCACAGTTTCCAAGACCAAGTCTTATAATATATTAGACAATGGAGATATCAAAGGAAATATCATACAGAGGAAATATCAAATTTTGATATTTTCTCTGTATAGTACAATATTGACCTAAGGGTATTAAACTTAGTTCTTATTCCTCTCCAAATGCTTTGTAGACCAACTGTTGGATGCCAGAAGATTTTATCTATGTGCAAAGGATTACATGCCCAGAAATATTTTTTAATGTTTGTATTCTGCTAGTAATTATCAGTGAAATTAGAAGAGTTTGGACCACCCAGCTTATGTTGCTGGAGAGGGGGCGTCAGCCCTGTGTATACCAAATTCGTGACTTAATGATATTGCTAGAATTGCTGAATCGTGCTTTAGAAAGCACACAAGAATTAAGGCAAACCTACTTCTTTACACGTTGATAAAGTTATTAAGAATGTCCAAGCTCCTCCATTAGCAAAAAGTTTGTGGAATGACATTATTGAGCAATCTAATAGCATTGCAGTATCAAACGAATGCCTTGTGTTTTGAGAATATTGGTAAACTGTAAGGCTGTTAAGTTTCAAATTTTGCCATTTGTCGTGCTCCAGCCCAATTTCTGGTTCTGAAAGGCCCGATTCTCAGTCAAAGAGTGCATGCCAAGCAGGCTGGTCATTTCATTGTGTAACTACCCCACACTCAAAGGGCACTTTTTGCATCTTCTGAAAACTTGGGGGGCCTTGGCCCCCTGGTTCCTATGCCCCTGGTTGACAGCCAATTTCAGATGTGAATAGTATACTTATTCACTACGTAAGTGTGCTCTAATTCTAGCCATGGTTGTGTCTCAAACCATGATAACTCAAAGTTGAG